CTCCTCCTCCTCCTCCTCCTCCTCCTCCTCCGTTCGCGGCGGGCCTGCGCAGGGACGAAGGCCATCGCAGCGCTGCCGGGGCGTCCTCGGGCGCCCTGGCCCGCCGCCGCGGTCCTGGCTCAAGTCGGGCCTGTTCCCCTGTAACAGGCCGATTCTCGACCAAAAATGAAAAACCCGCCGATCTGGCGTGTGAGTTACAAGGAGTCTCAGCTACAGCCTCGAGGCTGAGCCTCAGCCTCCGGGGGGGTTGCCGGGGTGGCTCTGCCGGGGAAGGGGGGGTGGGGGGGGGGGGGCGAGTTTCCGGCGGATGCGTTTCTTGACACCCCTCACAAGGATCGTGGCCTCCGAGGGGGTTCCGAACTCGAGTGCCACCCCTCCCGCACCAAGAGGCTCCGAAGAAGCCTCCAAGAGGCCCCAAGGGGCCCAGAAGAGGCCCCCAAGAAGCCCCAAGAGACTCCCAAGAGACCCCCAAGAGGCCCCCAAGTGGCCCCAAGAGGCCCAAGAGGCCCCCAAGAAGCCCCAAGAGGCCTCCAAGAGGCCCCCAGAGGTCCCGGCCAACCACGATATCCCAACCAGCGTCCATGAGGCCTCTGACCCACCACCCACGCACGGTGGTGGGATAGGCCGAAGGCCACTGGATCCGCCGCCCCCTGCTTGCAGGGGTGCACGGCGTGCTGGATGAGCTGTCAGGTTTTGGTTTTGGTTCTTTTTCCAAAAGAACTCCCCAGTGGGCTCTGGCCCGTCCCGCCGGGGTCCCGGGAGGAAGCCGAAAACACCTCAATCCGGAAACAAATCGTCCAAAAACGGCCGTTTCGCTCGGGACATCCTCAAAAAATCGCGGAGATGGCCCAAGATGGCCTCCAAGTCCGCCCGAGATGGTCCAAGACGGCCTCCAAAACGGCCCAAGAGAGTCCAAGACGGCCCAAGACGGCCCAAGAGGCCCCCCAGAGGCCTCCCAGACGGCCCAAGAGGCCTCCAAGAGGTCCTCCAGGAGAGTCCGAAGAGGCCAAAATCATTGATTTTCCCTTGGTTTTTGAAGGATTTTGGCATTTGCGCCTTTTCGGCTCTCCGACGGCTCAAGACGGCCCAAGAAGCCCCCAAGATCGCCCAAGAGGCCCCCAAGAGAGCCCCCTGATGGCCCAAGTGGCCTCCAAGATGGCCCCTAGAGGGCCCCAAGACGGCCCAAGAGGCCTCCAACACGCCCAAGATGGCCTCCAAGACGCCCAAGATGGCCTCCAAGACGGCCCTGGAGCGCCCCAAGAGGGTCCCCCGTTGGCCCAGAAAGGCCCCCAAAACGGCTCCCGACGGCGTCAGACGTGCCAGGAACCCACCAAGATGGCCGAAGTTGGCTCGAAGCTGGCCCAAAAGGGCCCAAGAGGCCCCCAAGAGGGCCTCCAGGAAGGCCAAAAGATGCCAAAATCACTGATTTTCCCAAGGTTTTTGATGGATTTGGGCATTTCCCTTTTTTCGGCCTTCCGACGGCCCGAGACGGCCCAAGAGCCCCCAAAGATCGCCGAAAGATCGCCCAAGAGGCCTCCAAGACGGCGACGATGACCATCAAGACGCCCACGTGTTCCCCGAAGGCTTTCCAAACCGATTCGGGGAACACATGGTCCGATGGCTTGGCAGGTCTGGCCTCAACGTTCGGCCACATAGGCGCTTCCACAAAGGCAGGGGGCGGCGGTGATTCGCCGTAGGCGTCTTCGATAAATGCGGAATGAAAGGGGGAAGGAAGGGAAAAGAGAGGAGGGACGAGGGCGAAGGAGGATCACATCAGTCGGAGCGCCCCGGATCGGCGGCACTGGCCGAAGGCCACTACAATAGTCCAAAAATGCCCGAAATGGTCAAAAAACTGCTCCAAAAATCGTCCCCAGACTATTGTTTTACTACTTTGGGATATCCCCCCTGTAGAGGGGCAGGCCCGACTTCAGTCCTGGCCCTCTTCGCGGCGGCAGCGCCGTCGCCGCTGTCGTCGCTCTCCTCTCGGGTCGGGCACGAGGGGGGCAGCGAGGGGGGGTGGGGCCCAGATCCCCGAGGGTATGACCTTGTCGACTCCGAGGCTCCTCCTCGACTCCGGCCTCTGGGGCCCGCGACGGGGCCTCCGCACCAGCAAGCAGGGGTCCGAAGCGAAAAACTGCCCCCCGGGGGGGGGGGGGGGGGAACCGTTGCGGTGCCGGAATGAACTTTCCGACTGCCCACCGGCCAGTCGGGGAGTCGGAGAGCGGGGAGTCGGGGGGTCGGGGAGTCGGGGAGTCGGGGAGTCGGGGAGTCGAGGGGGGAGTCGGGGAGTCGAGGAGTGGTACCGCCCAAATGTTCCGAATGCCCCAGGGAAGGCTTCGGGGCCTCTGGGGCAGCGCGTCGACAGAATGCGCCGACCCCTCGGGGGGGGTTCCTCGGCGCGGGAGCCTGGCCCCGCCGATCTGGGGAGGACGGGTCTGCCGGGTCGGCCTGGGGCGATCGTCTGCTCTCAAGAGGCGCCCGTTGGCCTCTCAGTCGATCCAAGACTGCCCCCAAGGCGTCCAGGATGGCCCAGAGAGAGTCCAAAAAGATGGACCAAGACGGCCCAAAATGGCCTCAAGACGGCCAAAGAGGTTCCCGATGCGGCCAACGAGAAGTCCACGACGGCCCGCGGAGGCTGAAATCACTGAAGTCCTTCAAGCCTCACAAGTTCTTCAAGCCTTCCGGGCTTCCAACAGCCCAAGACGGCCACAAAGGCAGGCCTCCAAAACGGCCGCAAGATGGCCCGGAAGGCCCCAAGAGGGCCCCGAGACGACCAACGAGGGCACAAGACGGCCCCAAGAAGGCCCCAAGACTGCCCCAGAGACCTCCAAGACGTCCCGAAACCGTTCAAAGAGGCCCCCCTATACGGCCCAGTGAGGCCCCGCAGGACGGTCTCCGAAGACCACGCAGGAGGGACCACCCAAGACGGCACAAGAAACTCCCAAGACGCCTCCACGACGCTGCCGAAAGGGGCCCAAGATGAGAAATTGCCAATCAGACCCCCAAGATGCTGACAAGAAACTCTCGGGAGGCCTCAAACGTCCCCCAGGCCAGCAGCCGCTGCGACGACTCACCCCCGAAGCGAATTATGCAAGACACACGGGTTCGGGCCTGCGCCGTAAACTAATGGAACACATCGTCCATGTCTGGGGTTAGCGGATCACCGTACGTAGCTGGCTTCCCCAGCGCCTCGCCGCGCCGGAAGCGCCAGTGCATCGGCAGAAACGCCCAGCAGCAGGGCCGAAGGGAGGGGGAGAGGGCTCTTCCTCTCAGGTTGCGCAGCGTCTGGCCAGGGAGGCTGATGCGCGCACCGGGAGGGCAGGGGGGAGGATGGGCAGGCAGTCTTGCAGTACAGGGAGCTTCTGTCAGGAGGGGCTTGGCCACTGGCCTGCCCCCCCCGTGTTGTATCGAAGGCATCGAAAGCAGCAGCAGCAGCAATAGCAAAATGAGTATCGTTTAACCGATCCCTATCCCCAGCGGCGTGGCCAGGGCCCCACTGACCCATTTACCCCCCTAGATGGGGATACAGGTCGTTCCCTTCGGGTTCCGAGGGTACATCCCCAACTGGGGTGGTCATTTGGTGGGGGTCTCGAAGGGGATGGGGATGGGGATGGGGATCGGTTAAACGATAGTTACTGACAAAAGGATTGAGTGGGAAGGCCCCCCCTTGTCGCCCGACGCGATCCTCGTCCTCGTCGGAGCTGCTCTCCTCGCGGAGGGCGGCCGCTCTGAGACCACGGCGGCCATCCCGCAAGGCCAGAATCCGCTCAAACTCGGACCCCTGGTCCCTCCCAGGGTTCACCTAAAGGGGCCCTAGGGCACACAAAGAAGTACACACAATCCACAGGGCTCCCCATACCATATTTTCCCATATGTTCTGGGTTCTTGTCTTCCCCCCCCACTTCCCATAGTTTCCTGCATGTTCTGGGGCATTGACGATGAATTGCGTCTGTGTGCTTTTGCTCCCCTCCGCATCATCCTGAACCGTTCTGCGAGGCGGATCCGGCCGCCGCGACGAGAAGCCTCGAGGAGGCCCAGAGATAGAAGAAAAAAAACTATGCACATACACCGATTCTGGCCAGGCCCATTCTGAGCCCAGGATCGGTGCATACGCCCTCCTACCTTGGCCAGGAAGGCATATGCACCGATCCTGGGTCAAAGATGGGCCTTGCCAGGATCGGTGCATGTGCATAATTCTCTTCGCCCAAAGAGAAGACGAACCCGCCAGGGAGCGCCGCCGCTCTTCCCGGACGCTCGATGCCCTGGTCGTCCGGCACCGGGGGGCCCTGCCAGCCCCGACCCGGAGTCGCTTCCTCACGGCACTGGGGCCGAGCGAGCGCCCCCTGCTGGTGCTCCTCCGCCTCCTCCTCCTCCTCCCCCTCCTCCTCCTCCTCCTCCTCCTGCTCCCCCTCCTCCCCCTCCTCCCCCTCCCCCTCCTCCCCCTCCCGTCCTGATTTTCTCTCAAGATGTCGGACGTCTGGGTCGTCTCGACCGCGAGGGGGGAGCGATGCCGGGAAGGTGGCTCGTGGAGGGAGACGTCGAGCTCGAGTCCGCGACACGCCGCCGCTCGAGCGGCGCCCGGCCCCCCGATGCTGCGAATCCGCGCGTTCCTGGGCGGGGCGGGCGATCGGGCCCCTGCATCGGCGATGAACGGGCGCTCGGGGAAGGAGGAGGAGGAGGCAGGAGGAGGAGGCAGGAGGGAGGAGGAGGATGCAGGAGGGATGAGGACGGACGAGGAGGGAGGAGGACGGACGAGGAGGAGGAAGGAGCCCATCCCCCCGAGCGCTGTCACCGAGGCCGGCCCTCCTCCGATCCTCCTTGCCCGCGCTGGCGGCGGCGCCGCCGCCGCTGCTGGCGGGGCGCACAAGGGGGCGTGGCGCGACGGGGGGGGGGGGGGCTTCCGAGAAGGCGGCGGGGCGTCCAAGAAGGCAGGGGGGGCTTCTTGGAGACCCGCTGGGCCTCCAGTGTCAGGACCCCTCGGGGGGGCCTTCCCGGAAGGCCCCTGCCTGCCGCAGCCCTTCCAGGGAACAGCGGCTGTGCGCCCACGGCGGCCCCATCCGGGCCCGTCCTCGGCCCGGGCATGGGTGCCTGCGCCCTCCCGTGGCTTGGCCTGGAAGGCCTGGCACACCGATCCTGGACCCAGGGTCGGCCCAGACGTGCAGGCGCATGAGTTGGCGCCCTCCCATTCTGAGAAGCCCCTCCGCTTTCTTCGCAAGCCGCCCACATCAATGGAGCGCCTCAGGTTTTGGAAGGGTGTGGGTGTCTCGGGCTCGTCATTGAGAGGATCCCTGGCCACTTGGGGCCGTCCTGGGGCGGGCTCTGGGCCTCGTGGAAGCATGTTTGAAACTGTATTGAAGCTTGCTTTTCAGAGTCAGCGGGCGCAGGCGAAACGGAGCAGATGCAGGCGCCCGTCGGGCAACGGGTGGGGCTCGCCGGCAGCATCTCGGGCACGAAGGGACGCGGGGGGGCGAAGCTGCCTCGACAAATGTTGGGCTGTCATGCGCCCCGCGCCACCACTTAACGGGCGAAGAACGGTATAAAATAATGGAGTATAAACTTTCCAGCCGCCCAGGGACAGGCGCCCCCGACAGCGAAAAAAAGTTTATTCTATACCGTTTTTCGCTCGCTGAACCACCCCTGTGGGCGCCGCCGATACTGCCCACCGCGCCGCCCGCGATGACGGCGCCCGCACTGGCCGTGCCGGCGCCCGCCGCGCCGGCGCTCGCCGCAGGGCCGCCGGCCACGGCCGCGGGCGCCCGCTCGGCGGCGGAGGCTCCTCGGGCGCACGCCGACATGGAGTATGGATCCGCGGATACGGTCAAAATCCACGGTACACCCTGCGAAATGCTCAAGAAATCATGGGTTCAGAAATTCATAGTCTCAGAACTTGGATAATTATCCCGGCAAAGCAACCTAACAGCGATGTGTAGGAGCATATCTGGAAGCATTCCCCTTAAGATTCACATGAGAATCCAGTTGTAGAATTCTGCTGTTCTCGCAGTCGCAGTCGCATTCGCGATGAAAGTCGCAGTGGCAACGGCAGTCGCAGTCACAGCCTCAGCCTCAGCCTGCCTCAGCCTCAGCCTCAGCCTGCCTCAGCCTCAGCCTCAGCCTGCTTCAGCCTCAGCCTCAGTCTGCCTTCAGCCTCGGCCTCAGCCTCAGCCTGCCTCAGCCTCAGCCTGCATCAGCCTCAGCCTCAGCCTCAGCCTGCCTCAGCATCAGCCTGCCTCAGCCTCAGCCTCAGCCTGCCTCAGCCTCAGCCTCAGCCTCAGCCTTTCAGCCTCAGCCTCAGTCTGCCTTCAGCCTCGGCCTCAGCCTCAGCCTGCCTCAGCCTCAGCCTGCATCAGCCTCAGCCTCAGCCTCAGCCTGCCTCAGCATCAGCCTGCCTCAGCCTCAGCCTCAGCCTGCCTCAGCCTCAGCCTCAGCCTGCTTCAGCCTCAGCCTCAGTCTGCCTTCAGCCTCGGCCTCAGCCTCAGCCTGCCTCAGCCTCAGCCTCAGCCTCAGCCTCAGCCTCAGCCTCAGCCTCAGCCTGCCTCAGCCTCAGCCTCAGCCTGCCTCAGCCTCAGCCTCAGCCTCAGCCTGCTTCAGCCTCAGCCTCAGTCTGCCTTCAGCCTCGGCCTCAGCCTCAGCCTGCCTCAGCCTCAGCCTGCATCAGCCTCAGCCTCAGCCTGCCTCAGCCTGCCTCAGCCTCAGCCTCAGCCTGCCTCAGCCTCAGCCTGCAGCCTCAGCCTCAGCCTGCTTCAGCCTCAGCCTCAGTCTGCCTTCAGCCTCGGCCTCAGCCTCAGCCTGCCTCAGCCTCAGCCTGCATCAGCCTGAGCCTCAGCCTCAGCCTGCCTCAGCATCAGCCTGCTTCAGCCTCAGCCTGCCTCAGCCTCAGCCTCAGCCTGCTTCAGCCTGAGCCTCAGTCTGCCTTCAGCCTCGGCCTCAGCCTCAGCCTGCCTCAGCCTCAGCCTGCCTCAGCCTCAGCCTCAGCCTGCCTCAGCATTCAAAATGTGGCCCGGGAATGGAGTTCTGGGAACTCGAAGAACACGAAGTGGCCTGCAGTTGGCTCCGGGCATTCAAAATCATGCCCAGGAATGGAGTTCTGGGAACTCGAAGACCACGAAGTGGCCTACAGTTGGCTCCGGGCATTCAAAATCATGCCCAGGAATGGAGTTTTGGGAACTCGAAGAGCACGAAGTGGCCTACAGTTGGCTCCGGGCATTCAAAATGTGGCCCAGGAATGGAGTTCTGGGAACTCGAAGACCACGAAGTAGCCTACAGTTGGCTCCGGGCATTCCGAATGTGGCCCGGGAATGGAGTTTTGGGAACTCGAAGAGCACGAAGTGGCCTACAGGTGGCGCCGAGCATCCAAAATGTAGCCCGGGAATGGCGTTCTGGGAGCGCCAAGAGCGATTTTGCGAGGATGTCCCAGGCGATTTGGGCTCCGACGGCAGCCGCCGGATTCTGTCCGGGTTCCGCCCAGACCCCCCTGAGGAGTCATGATGCTCTCTTTTGACCCTACTAGAAACCTATCAGTCTTCGCTGTTAGGTAAAAAACCCAACACGTCTATTAAAATCTTAGGATGTACATCGAAACGTTGACAATTATCGAGACTCTGGCCGAAAACTTAAGTTTTCTTAAGCATCGCCTAAGGTGTATGGATCCGCGGATACGGTCAAAATCCACAGGAAGGACGCACGGTGAGGCTGCAAGACAGGTGGAAGTCCCGTTTACTTGTGGATGCCATGGCAATGGACACTCTAGCAATCCGATCCTTGAAATTCAAATGTGTTGAAATGTGCTTTTTTTTTTCAAAAAAAAAAAAAAAAAAAAAAAAAAAAAAAAAAAAAAAAAAAAAAAAAAAAAAAAAAAAAAAAAAATGATCCAACAATGTTTCGAACATGTTTGTACATATTTCAGATATGGTTGAAACATGCTTTAGAAATCTGGAAATTATTTGGCAGCATGCTTCCTCTCCATGAATCGACTTCCACAACCATTTACCACCTAGAGCCCCTAGGACGTCAACATTGGCTGAGGATGGGCCGAAGAAGCAGGAAAGCCAGGGTAGCCTTGATGAAGCAGCGAATCCTTACTATGGATTTTGACTGTATGGCGCGTTGGCGCTAGATCTTCGAGTTGAGGAAAAGATTTGGAGGCAACTCATGGGAGATCTTTGTAAGGACGATGACGGGCCATTGGACCCGATTGGGGGGCCATGAGCGGGATCAGCCCAGTCTACGCCCAGGATCAAGCTAGATTAGACGGGATTGCGCAGGATCGGGCCGGTTTTCGACCACGGATACACCAGCGCCGATCCTGAATCTTACCTCCCAGAGTTGCATCTTAAAGCACGGCTCCGCGGCTCTGACGCCTAGGCCCTGGGCACGAGATCCACGGATCGGGGAAGATACCCCTAAAACACGAGGGCAGTGCCGCCTCGTTGGCCGACGGAGAGCGCCGACTCTGCACGGAAGCGAGACCCGTCGTTAATCCAGGCGCCTTAGTCCATGTTTGCGACTTCATGGAGCTCCAGCAGGGGTCGCGCCAGCAGCCGCCGCCGAGGCCGCGCCGCCCTCCTGTTGGCACGCCCAGGAACCCAGACGTCCAACGTCCTGTACAGAAATCCGCCGACCCGGCGTGTGAGTTTGAGCGGGAACGAGGAGGAGGAGGAGGAGGAGGAGGAGAACCCCCGTCCTGGGATTGATGCCTGCGGGGAGGGGCCCTCCGTCCCTGGATTGACTCGGAGGTGAGTGCTGGCATTGCTTTGAGGGGGGCGGGCCCGTCCCCAGATTGATTCGGGGGTGGTTTTGCCATGGGGGGGGCCCGTCCTGGGATTGATTCGAAGGTGGGTGCCCAGGCAGCTGCGTCAGAGTAGAGGGTTGGCGAGGCCCCCCTCCCAAGCAATTCGCGGCACCCTCCCGACATCCCCTGGCATCCCCCGCACACCTGGCAGACCTCTGGCACCCTTCCCTGTAGTCCGCCCCCCCCCGCCACCTTCCGGCACCCACCAACAGCCTGGCAACCTTTCGGGTGACCCAAAAAGGGGTCCAGCTAAAAGGGGGTTGGTGCAATAGATTTGGGGCAATTGGATTGCAAACGTATTGTGCCGGAGAATTGTATTGCATTGTATTGCAAATAATGTATTGCACGCGAAAATCCTGCAATACATCTGCGCCCCAGAATGTATAGCACGCCCCAAATGTATTGCAACCCCACAAATCTACTGCACCAAATCTACTGCACCACCCCCCTGTCGCTGGACCCCCTTGTGGGTCAGTCTGAACCTGGCAGTCCTCTGGCACCCTTCGCTTTAGTCCGCCCCCCGCCACCTTCTTGCACCCTCCCTCAGGCACCTCCCTGCGCTCGCCTCGGAACACCCTGCAGGATGTGTCGAGGCAGTCGCCCCGGCAATCCCTGGCCATTGCCAGGGCGATGCCAGGGCGTGCCGCTGCCAGGCGGTTGCCCAGGGATGTCCTGGAGTCCAGGACATCCCCTGGCAACCGTCCGGCACCGGCAGGACAACCCCCGCGGCAGCCGTCCAGCGCCTCTCGCTGCCCCCCGCCGACGCCTGGTACCTTTCAGCAAATTCCGGCACCCTCCGCCTCCCAGCACCCCCGGGCATCCGCCCCGCACCCTCCAGGCATCTCCCTGACGCCCCCCAAGCACCTGCAAGCGCCCGCACGCGAAACTTGCCGTCCCCCTCGTTTCCTCCTTCCGTCTCCTCTCCCTGACCGCCCCCAACGGCGATCCGAAGTAGAGTTTCGGAGCGAACAGGAAAAGGAGGACGACGAGGAGGACGAGGCACAGGAGGAGGAGTAGCGAGCGCATGAGGGGACGCGCCGAGTCGGGAAACGGGGCAGAGATCAGACGATTGGGAAAAGGTGAGAACGCACAATCTCTCACAGACAGAGTGGGGAACACGAAAGGGCATGCCCAAACATGTCCCCTCGCACACGCCCGACGACGGGCCTGTGGAGCAGAGACAGGCCAGGAAGCTGACCTGGACACGGGGCCGATCCATTCACCAGACCCCGCACAAAGATATTAAGAACAAAACGAATTGAACCGAATTCACGAGGCCAGCCCAAGCCACTCCACAGCGGGGTCAGAGACCAACATTCGCCTAGGGAGGGGGATGGGGTGCTTGCGGCCCTCACTGGGGTGCCGCCCCTCCGCGAAATTGTTCCGCCTCCATTTCCTCTGAGGGTTGCCCTCAAAGGCCTTGGGGCCCTCGCATTCATTATAAAGCTGGGATCGGTGAGCACGCTCAGAAAAAGGATCCGCAGCGCATGCATCCAACCACGTCGCCCGCTCGGTAGAGCACATGGCCTCGAGAGGCCTGAGGGGGGACCGTCCCCTCCGCAGGGAGCACCGTGCTGGGAGGGACGGCATTGGCCCTCGTAGTGGCCGCCGCAAGTCTAGGGCGCTTCTCCGAGCCAATCGGGGGATCCAGGGCGAGCGTGGCATCCCTAACACGGGTCTGGACAGGCGGCTCGAACTGCACTCTCGGCTTGACCCTACGGGGGGCTCGGATGAAAGCCTCCGCCTCCTCGACCTCAGGCCTCCTAGACTTACCCACAATCCTGACCCGCGGGCTCGGGTGGGGAGGAGGAGGAGGGGGAGGAGAAAGGTCAGAGGACGAAGCAGGGGAGGAGGGAGGATCACCGCGCAGCGCCTTCCTCCCAGGGCCGTCCTCGTCTTGACCGCCTCCTCGGCCGTCTTGGCTGCCCAGAGGCCTCTTGGGGGCCTGACGGGGGCCAAGGGGGGGGCTCCGCGGGACCTCGTCGGGGCTGGACTGGGGCTCAGGGGCCTGAGGTTCCGAGGGGCGGTGCACTGCACACACCTCGAGGGCCATGCGCCTTCGTCCCGATGCCGTCCGGGCGAAGCGCTGACAGTATTTACATTTCCATCCTTTGGCCAGCGTGGGCCTGATGTCATGCAGGCGCTGGCTCGTAGTCAGTACAGGGCGGTGGTGTCCAGGCCGACGGCGTCGCTGAAGTCGTCGGCGTGACTTTCGCGCTGGCGGTGGCTGGCGGTCCCGGTTCCCAACCAACGTCATAGAGGACCCAATCCAGCACGCAACCTGCCTGACAATATTGATCATGTTCGAGTGGAGCTGAATGGCCTCCGACGGCAACGCGCGCATAGCCAGGCCCCTCTTTGCTGCGACATCTGCATAGTGATCGCCCTTCTTATCAGATGTGGCCTCGCCTTGAGTCTGGTGCGATCGAACATAAGAGATCTCCAGCTGCGAGGATAAGCCTCCATGATCTTGGATAGTCTGCCATAGCATTCTCCACAAATCACAATTCGGCCTGCGTGGGTGCGTGCACCACTCTGGCCCACATAAGAGGGCTTCCACGGTGCCCAGGCAGTCCGTACGGATGTGCATAGGCAGCATTCCATGCCGTAGCACTTGAATGACAGCGTATAGTTCAGCACGCGGAACTGATTGCTGTTGTCCTGGGAGAGGTCCGTACGCAATCCCTCGAAGAGCTTCACCTGTCATCATTGCGATTCCCCATCCAGCCCCGTTGGCTTCGGGCCAGGCTATGGGGGAGAGCCCTGATCCATCCGTGTAGATGTCTCCCGTCAGCATGGTCATGTCACCTCCATGGGCGAAACTCCAGGCATCCTCCATGGCTGGTGGCGGAATGCCAGGCAAGGCGTCCCTCGGCATCAGGCCTCGGGTGAACAAGAGGTCGTTGTGAGGTGAGGCCCGAGCCGCCTGGATGATGTCAGCGTCAACTGCGGCCTCTCGTTCTTGCTGGAGCAAAGGGCAGGACCATAGGCGGTGATGGGCTGTTCCAGGGCAGTCCAAGCAATACTGGCATACGTTGTCTGTAGCATATCCATGTTTGTGTAGTCGCACCTGGGACCACTGACCACCTATGATTGAGATGCGTAGTGCTGCTCGAGCCTGCTCCGATAAGCGCCATTTCTTGGCCAGCTCCTTCGGCGCCAACAGCATCTTGAGAGGTCCCATCCAGTAGCCACAAGGTCTCCTGAGTGGTGGTTCGTCTTCTGGCGCATGATCTCGCTGGCGACTCCAATCTTCAAATTTCACGTTGACAAAGTCCCGTCTTGCGAGAACTCTGAGCCACTCAGGGCTGTCCGTAGTGAGGTCCAAGGCTGCCCCTGCGCATGTAGTCCATGTCGTCGCCGTCGTCGCACGCCAGTTGAGAGTATGGAGTGCCACCAATACAGCTCCTGCAGGGCCCGCCACTTCTGAATGCTTCGGGGTAGATCCTAAGATCTGGCGCTGCTGCAGGAAAGCCTTCTCCAGCACATAGTTGGGCACCTTGCTGTCTTGAACGAGCATGGCCCACGTGTAGAGGGGGCCCACGATCGCCATCATCTCAGGGTGTTCAAAGAAACGCGGCTCGAGCTGAGCCGCCAACCAAACTGAGGTGCCTGGAGGAGTGCGCAGCCAACCCACTCGAACCATGCTAACCATCGACTTGATCAGCGTCTTGGTGGCGCCGACGATCTGGATGCCGCACTGCATGGCGGGGGCAATGCATGGCTGCGCCACCGCTCGGCCGATATTGGCAAGACCACTGAGCCTCTTGAAGCGCGGGATTCTTTTCTTCATCTTGCGCACCCTCCTGCGAATCGTTTCGAAGCTCAGTCTGTGCCCGCCTTTAGCCTCCACGCCCAGTACCTCCAAAGTTCTGTAAGGTCGAAAACCGTGCCGATGGACCTGCTGCGTAACCTGCTGTGCAATAACAAGATCTGATGCCAACACTTTCGCCTTGTCCTGAGCAATAGGAAGATCAAGGGCCTTGAGAACTGCTGCAAGCCTCTGCAGGATGCGCACCGTCTGGTAGACAATGTCCTGCGACGTGGTCACCACCTGGATCGTGATGTCATCAGCGTAGATGTCCAGCGAGTGGTGTACCTCGTCTGTGTTGGCAAAGGATTTCTCGAACACGTCGAGAGGCAGCATCATTACCAGCTGCAGCAGGAACATGGCTATCGAACATCCTGGGAGCACTCCCCTGCTGACTTGGCACGAGTAGGAGAAGGAAGTGGTCCACTTAATTATCCTCGGAGCGTAGTACATCGCCAGACACAGCTGCAGGATTTGTGTTGGAAACCTGTAGTATTCAGCAGCCTGCAGCACTCGGCGCCAACAAACTCGGTCGAAGCACTTGCTGATGTCCACCAGCGTCGTGGTGGTGGCCCTTTGCTTATCCCGAGCGTAGGCCTCAGCATAAATCATGGTGCGCGCTCCCACGTCAAGTGTACATTTGTGGGTGCCCAACGCGAAATAAGGTCTGGTGTTCTGTGAGATCCAAATCCGAACTTGAGCAAGTCTGAGCTTTGTGTAGATGCGATACGTCGCTGGTAGTAGAGCAATTGGGCGAAACCCTCCTTGTGGTTTGGCTAGGAGCATGATGTGGACGTTGAGCATGACCGTCGGCCAGCGCATCCAAGCTTCAGCAGCCCAGCATATGTAGATCAACATGGCTAAGGCATCGTCCGATACCAGGGAGAGTGCACGGGGTGGAAGTGCGTCAGCTCCCAGTCCAGTGCGCCACCTGAATGTTGATGCTGCCCTTCTCGTCTGTGC